ATTAATAAACGTTTTGTTTGCTCAATTCTGGGAATTTACTAAACCTTTCTAATAATTTGGCACGCTCAAATCACCGTTCTGAAAACAAATATGGCGCCCGTTTGTTTACATTGCGCAGATCAGTACGAAAATTTCAGTGATTGCGCAGCGCAATGTTGCCAACATTGTTTATAAATTTTTTGTGTGAATTGATTGGACGGTTTTTGAAATATTAGAAAAAAAGTTATCTCGATAATAATTTGAAACGCAGTATATATATATATATATATATATATAATATATATATATATATATATATATTTTTATAAAAAACGCAAAATACAGACATGTTTGTGGTATTCATATTTTATATGTTGGATCGAATTTCCTACATTTTTTTATTCCGATTTCAACAAAATAAGAACAATGTCGTCGTTTCTTATATTGGTTCTAACAAATAAAATGGGAAAATACAGTTTTTTTTAAATAAAATTCTCGTGAAAACACGAAAAAATACACAGCGTGAGAATGAAAAAACGGGGAGAACTCACCCACGAAAAATTTAAACAAAAGAGCATAGCATGATGAAAAAAGACGCCGAACTTGACGAAAATAAAAAATTTATCGTCTAAAACTTCATATTTTTAAACTAATTAAACATCTTAAAATATTTCAAAGTATTTTTGGGGTTAATTTTTTTGAATTTTTCGTTCCAAGTTTCTCTAAATTTTCATTAAAGGAATGTTTTGTTTATTTTTTTCATGTCAAAAAAAAAAACTATAGATATAATCATTTTCAATTTACCTAAATTACGATTTGATAAAAAGATTAAAATCTTGAGATTGATATTCTTTTGAAAACTCAATTATCATTTTTTTAAACTGATTTTAATAAAACAGATATTATACTGTTTATTTAAAAAAATTTGAACAAAGCTTAACTTAAATTTCTGCGCCAGTGTTGGTTTTTAATTTGAAAATTCGTGGGGAAGCAGGTCATAACCTTTCGCGTTTTGATATATTGACGAAAGGTATATTCATAACGTTTAGATAAGAAATTACGGGTGGATATATTAGAATTCTTTTATTTTAAGATTGATGTTGCCCGTTTACTAATAGAAAATTTTTTTTTAAATTTAATTTTAAACATCTTTTAAAAATCTTTTTAAAATTAAAGAAATAAGAAATAATTGTATTAAAAATTCAATTTTCATTGAAAAAAAATTTGCTTTCAAAAAATATTGTCCATATTCATAAAAACAAATTAAAAAAATAAAAACATACATTTGAAACTAAATAATATATTTGTTTTATTGAGTTTTGTATGTTACAATTCACAATAAGTTTTTCAGGTACGTTGGCCAAAAAAAAAAAAAAAACATGATTTGCATTCTTTCAAAGCCTTGTGTATTTTAACTATTGTAATCATATTTAAAACTGATGGTCTCGAATTTCATGTTTTCATTAAATTAAAATAGGTTCTGTTAATAAATATAAAAAAATATTTTCTGCCATGCCTTTAATAAAAAAATAAAAAAATTCCTGTTAATTTAACAATTCGATCATCTATTCCGTTTCTGAAAAAAAATCATCATAACATCTGAAATTATTTTTATTTTTTTAAAGATTTTCCAAATTAATGTGATGTAAATATCGTAAAAATTCAAAATTATCTATTTATTTACACCCTGTTTGCGACAAAAAAATTGAGGTTTTTTAAATCAAAATTTAGAATATTCTAAAAGATGGAAAAATTAAAAAAAATTAAAATATCCCTCTTCATAAAAAAATAAGCATCTTGACGATAAAATTTTGTTTTATATAAACTTTGTGCGTCTTTTTGCATCAGACTATGCTCTATGTTTTAGTGATTCCGTGGAGGTGATTTAATATTTCTGCAAAGACCCAATACCTGGAAAAATGTTTATGTCCACCCTTCTGCTCATGTGTTTGTGTGTGTGTGTAAATGTGTGTTGTGTGTTCCTTTATATATGGGATCACGTTTATTACATTTTTTGAAGTCGATAAAACAAATATCCACTTTTTTTTGATAAAGCAGGTAATTTTTTCTTATTGTCTTCAGTCACACTTTTTTCTTTATTTACATTCAGAAAAACTTAAAAATTCCATTTACAAGACAATTGTTTATAATAAAATTATATTCACCAAAATGATAAACTCATAACGATTGTAAATAATATTTTTGTTTGAATTTGTTTTTGAATAATTCATCTGCAAAAAAAACAAAAAAAAACTAATTAAGACAAATTGTATCTCCGTCAACCTTAAAAATAATCTTTGTCAATTTTATTTTTTCATTTTATGATGGTATATACTTGATTTATTTCTTATCAAAACATCCCCAAGCAAACTATCAAATTTCACTTTAATATTCATATATATATATATATATATATATATATATTTATATATATATAAAAGATAAAAACAATCATTGTTCTCAACGAGTTAACTGAGTGTTGACTTCAATATTCAGTTTTATATTTACATACATTTTTAAATCTGATAAATAGAACTTTATATTAAATATCATAAATATGGCATTTCTTCCATAATACCTATATATATATATATATATATATATATATATATATATATATATATATATATATATAGAGAGAGAGAGAGAGAGAGAGTGGCAATTTTTTTTCATTTGAGAATATATTTATCTATAAAAATATATCAATAAAGATTAAAACGTAATACAAAATGTATTTTTCCTGTTTTTAAATTATGAAGTTTTACGTCGGGATGAGTATTATGGAGAAAGTGTCGAAAATGGTCATGTTTATTTTTGCTTTGGTAAAGTATTTTCAACATTTTCAGGAATTATCAATAAATTTTTGTGGGGCTGAGCGACAGACAACAATTAATCAGATATCCCTTGTCGGCTGAATCTAACAAAAGTTATTTGGATACATCTTGTTACTTAATTATATATGGTCTTATCACACTATCTATCTCTCTCTTTCTCAATCATTATATATATATATATATATCAAGAGCAGTATTGTTCGTCTAATTGTTGATGGAATAATTTCTCAGTATCAGACACATCATGCGCATGTGTACGTGTACATAACATTCTATCAAATATAATCCGATTTTAAAATGAAGGACTGAAACGAGTTCACTTTTTCCGGATTCTGTCTATGTAATAAGAATATATATATATATATATATATATATATATATATATATATATATATATATATATATATATATATATATAATTAGTGCACTTATAGGAACTGTGTAGACATAAAATTCAAAATTCCACAAGAAAATCTACTGTCTTTTTTATGTTCCTGAACCTTCATAACAATTATGAATTACTCCTTCAACAAGTTTGGTTTATAGTCCTCTCGTGAGATTAATTTATACTATTAGAAATCCATTAATTGACTATTTACTGTTCTTTTTTATTAGGACCGATGAAAAACTGTATAAATATAAATTCTTACTACGTGTGTGTGTAGAAACGAGAACAAAAAATAATATATAATAATGTAATCAAATATATAATGATAATTATTTATATATTATTAAACGGTAAACCAAGAAACTGTTATTAGATACAACTTCCTTTAACATTTTCATGTTCGTTGTTCCATAAATGGAACTTATGTTTATATATATATATATATATATATATAGTTATTTAGTTTATGCAAATTTAGATAATCCGTATGGGTAGACCTGAGTAGGATGATATCCAGATATATATATATAAAATTCATATATATATATGTTTGAATAAAAGACAGACCATGTTAAGATTCCATGTAATAAGCTATTTCACCATAACCCCTATAACAGGGTTCTGGATCATCAAACTTTACTTCCAAAAGCTGAAATGAAAAATGAAAAGAAATTCACACGTTTTTGACGGACCTCGTCAAGTATACGCAAAGTTAACGAAGTGAGGAAGTGAGGTGGGAGAGAGGACATGAGTGTGTCATATGTATCATTTTATTTTCCTATTTTTTACCCCAGTGTGTCGGTTAGATGTTGCTCAAATTTAACGCGTCTCGTCTCTAGATAAACGTGGTTAAGGGGTGAATGATAAGAACGACATTAAAGGAAGACGTTACAACAACCCCAATAAATTACACGACAGGTTTCATTCAAATTCTTAGACGCTGTCAGTTCGTGTTACTTTAGGTTAAGGTTTGATAAATATCTAAATGTTAAAACTATATATATATATAATAAAACTATATATATATATAATAAAAGAAGAGTATGAGTTTTATTTTATCGATAATATATAAAGAAACGACTAACATACAATTCGTGCTTACGGTCTAAAATAAAGCTAATGCTTATCTGATATAGAAAAAGGGGCGACTCTCACCCAGTGAATTATGTATTATGGAGTAATATTATTTGCTCTTAATATCTATTGAAGCATGAAAATGACGATCTCCATGCAATGGTGACCACATTTTTCTCTCATGTATGTATATATATATATATATGATAAAAATATAGTTTTAAGGCATGCTTTATTTATGGCTAAGTGCTTAATATCAGAAATAGAGCGCATGTAAATATAAAAGTGGACATTAATGTCAACACCTATCGGCGATATTCTCTTTCATCCTTAAACGCAACCTTCAGACTATACAGAATGCTTTTAAGCATAAAACAGACTGCCTACGCTGTGTGTTGACTTCAGTGTCTACATTATATATAGAGATGTATAAAATTTTGATTGATTGATTCTTTCGTTTTTTACTGCTTATCCTCCCTTTGCTGGTTATTTAATAACAGAAAATATCTTTAGATCGTAAACCATTTTTTGTGGAATAGGTAGATAATAATTACTTAGTGATATAAGTGTTACTAATTAACTCATAGCTGGAGGAAAAACGGTGAATTCGTAACTTTCCCAAGGATATTTGTAAGTGAATATAACGAAACCAACGGGAATTGAAACTAGGCTCTCTGATTAAGAATTCCGAGTCTTTATTCATTTCACCAACCACATATCCATTCTTACAGCACCTGGTATTCCAAAGCGGTCACCCATCTAAGTACTGACCAGGCACGAAGTTACTTAACTTTGGTCATCGTACCGGAAGCAGAGATTCAACGTGATGTGGCCACATTAAAAAGTAAATAAAAAGTTGTTTTTGTCCATTGTACTGGTGTCTCGGGCACAAGCCGCAACATTTGTGGTTTTTTTTTTTTTTTTTAAATAAGAGGTTATATGCAAGTATTTTACGAGTAAAACTAGCCATGCTAATCGATGGTAAAGTGAAAAATGATGCACCTAGTTGCCGCTCTGCTTAGTGTTAAATCTGACCTGTTGGCCTTTCTAACTTCTGACCGGTGGAAGAGTGACGAGGTCTCAGTATTTCGAGACTGATATTCAAATATTAACCAGGTTTAGATATTTTTGATCGAGCTGTTGCACTTATAGCGTGGAGCCTTTTCACTGACACTTAATCCTCAGAAGTCCAAGACAAAAAGAAAAAAAAATTACATAAGTTTTCTTGTTGACTTCTAAACCTTTTTTTATGAATTGGAATGTAAATATTTAATGGTGTAGAAACAGTGAAAGATCTTCGTCAACTCAACATTTCATGTGAGTGGATCAATAAATCCGTTAACTGACTCGTAAAAGGCTAGCATCTCGCGCTTACACTTTCACTGTCGAAACTGTTAAATATAGCCGTCTCTTCTAGCTTCATGTCTCGTACTTCCCGCCTGTGGAACTCCCTCCCCAGTTCTTATTTTCCTGATAGTATAATCTCTAACTATTCAAATGTAACGTCAATCGACGTCTCCAGATGCCCGGATCTATCCTCTAACCTTCTCTTCATCCTTTCCTCTATCACTCCTATTTGCTCTCGCTCCAAATCTCTGTAACCACTTGCGGGCTAGTAGCTTCCTGCCTTGCTTGGGGTTGCATGTTAAAAAAAAAAAAAAAAATTATGTAAATTTCGATCTGAAATTTTCACTGCATAATGTTGAACCTATGTTCTTCATACTTACAACGTATTTATACTGACAAGGAAGGATATTATGTTAAAAAAATAAATATTTTTTTTTGCCTAATATAAAGAATGTATTCTTTTATGCGACTTCATATTTATTGACATAATTTAATCCAACGATGAAGCAATAGCTCAACGTGCTACTATATATTGTGATAAGGCGTGGTTGGGTTTTAATTTATCTAGACAACTTATATAAAAAATATAAATTACTTTCAAAATCAGGTTAATTCAAGGAGGGTAGCGGTGCCTGTTCACAAACAATGGCATTAAGACTTCGAGTTGCTTGTTCTCTAGAAATTTGCATTTCGGGGTGTGGTTTGGTTTCGACACTGGGCGCTGATCTCTACCAGTCGTTCACGGCTGATTTCCCTCGCCGTCAGTGGCTTAATTTCTTCTCTTCTGCTTCGGGTGGACGAATTTATTCACTTCGACTTGAGTTGGGCGAATTTCTATTCTTAGGCTTGGTTTGATTTCAACTTCTTCTAGGCGCAACTGCAAGTTAACTTCTTCGTCTGAGGCGAAAACCTAACTCCAACTGCAACTCTTCTGCCGTCCGCCCTGCAACTCTTCTGCCTCTTTGGCCCGCGCTGCAACTGATTTCTGTCGATTGGGGTCCTGCTTTTATTGACGCCGTAAAAACTGGGGTGGGTCTGTCGGTGCCAGGGTTTTCTTGATAATTCCAAAAGTAGCATTATTTCTGATTTTCCATTATCGCTCTTACTTTCACTCCTACTTCCTTACAGTGCCTCTGGGGGGCGCATACCCGTTTCCCCTGGTCTCTCGTATGTCAGGTGACCGCTCTCGACCAATGGGGTCCTGGTCGAGCATCTTTCCCCTCCCTCGCACATCACGTGACCGCTCGGCCAATGAGACCCTGGTCGGGCGTCTCCTCCTCCCTCATGTATCATGTGACTGCCTCGGCTAATGAGACTCTGGTCGGTATCTTCCCTCCTTCCTTCGTGACGTCTCCAATCGGGCGTGTACAATCCGTGGCCTTGTTCTGGGGAAGAAATACCTTGCTTAAAAAAAAAAATCCAAATTGTCCTTTTCGCACGAAAATGACGATTTCGGTTTCTTTTCACATTTGGCATTTGTCAAAACAGCCCGCCGCTAATTAGATGCGACCTAAAGAAAGAATTTTTCCGCCTTGTCGGCGTCTTCCGCGAGCTAAAACAATTGTTTTCACCTCTTTCTTTCGCTCGGGCCTGTTAACAAAATTGTAATTATCTAAATTGAAAATATTCTTCACTCATCATCGTGGGTGGTTCTTATCTTCAACTCTAGAACTGGTCAGGGTTCGTGTACCAATGTTTTGTTTTCGTATACATTTCCCAGCAGTCACTTATCATCTCAATGACACCCCCTTTCGTTCGTTACCTATTAATATTTTTTCCATTGTCCTTAAAATCTTATTTCTTCAACCAAATTAATAATAAACTCCCATACTCCGCGGACACGAAAGTAGGTCAGGTGCTTGACCGACATCTGTTATGCATCAATCGCGCTCACTACCCCGTCTCGTATCATTATTTCTAAACTATTCCTTCAACCAAATATAACAATTTCTATTTTCCGTGGATTTCGGTCAGGTACTTTGACCTGATATCTTTTGACGCGTGTTTTGCTTATGACCGGGTCTTGTACTATCTATTTCTTTTCTCTTTCTTTTTATTATTTCTTTTTTTTTTCCTTTCCTTTTTCTTTCTTTCGGATCGCCTAAAAAAAATTAGAGAATTATTCTCAAAACTCAATTATTCTTCGTCTCTAAATAACTATCAACTGGTTAACAAACCGAATAAAAATAAATCATATTTTTATGAATATCTCTTTTCAGTTTTCTAATAATACAGGGTGCCACAGTTAGATATAAACTTGACTATAGTAGTTTAAATCACGGTGATGCAAAAACGAACGAAGTCATACAATTCATCATTAGGGACTATGATTCATGAAAGGGACTTCGAGAACAAAGATGGTGGAGAACCTGTACACTAAAATTCGCCAAATGACTTACACTAAGAAGGCAGAAAATTACCCCTACTAGAAATTACCCCTACAATACTATAACAAACTAAATTTCTGTCCAAATAACCTTGCATTCATTAATATTTCGCAACCACAATATAAAAATTTATTCAAAAAAAATACAAAAAATAGCAAGAAAATAACAGCCATGAAACATCTCGGCCCTTACATGAAAAGCATTATGACGTAATCTCGAATAAAGATTATGCGAAGGCTTGAAACACTAATCAGGAAAACCGACCTTCGCTAACAAATCAATCAACATTTTAAGACAACAAATTTAGTAAACACATCAGTCAACACCCTAATATTAATACCAGTCTATCTAACCTTTTTGAAGTCGCTGACAATATTTTTCAGGAATAATTAAATTAGAATCACATATAATCTGATGACTTTAAAAACATTGATAATGTCGGAATAACGCCTACCTAACAAATCCTCCACTTTTGGGTTGAAGCTGTAGCCATAGACCAAAATTTAGAAATCATGACAGACAATAAATCAGGCAATTTCATAGTTTTCTCATATTCTCTATCCATAATTACATAAAAATGAAATCCATTAATATTTAAATTACTAAACAGGATCGACCTCATCTTCAAGAAAAAAAAAAAAAAAAAAACAATCTAGGTTTTTGTTGGGTCTGTTCCATATAAAGGAAATTGAAAAGCTGACATGATTGCAAAGAAATCCCTGAAAATTAACATATCGAAATTCAAAGTACCCTATACAGATATAAACGCATACATTCAAAACAAGTTTTATGGAAATACCACACAAGCAACAAACTTTACAAAATTAAGCCCATTCTATATACATGGTCTCATACTTTCTCAGTAGGAAGATTCCATCATATTAAGAATCAGAATAGGATATGACTTGTCTCTCTTAAAAAATGAACGCCTTCAAAATGTCAGCAGATATATACGATAAATATACACACTGACCGATTATAATGTTTTTGCTCCGAAATATCAAAAATGTTATAGCATAAAAATTCTAGAGGAGGAGCTCTAAAAAAAAAAAAAGAAGAAAGACGTAAAAACTCGCCCTAGGCTACTTGAAAAAGGTTGGTCTGTATCATAAATAATAGAACCTGCTAGATTCTAGGGTAAAAAACTTGAAAAAACGACCAAAAGATTGTATATAGGATATATTGAATAATTAAATTACCATCTTAAAGATGACATGCTATTAAAAACAATTTAAAGAATATATATATATATATATATATATATATATAGTAAATATTAAATTTTATATTTATAATGAGAGAGTAATCGATATCCAATTAAAGGAATACCATAACTTCAATCTCATAGAATTACTTCTAATATCTCCATTTAAAACCGAAGAAAATAAATAATATATGTAATGTTTAATTGACTAACTAAATATTAAAAATGAGTAAATAATTAAAATAAGGAAACAAGAAGTCATGAATTCTACATACCACGGGGCATTAGCACTAAAAAATTTAAAAATATAAAGAATAAATGGAAAACGCGTTTTCTTCGGCACACATTTCATAATAATCTTTTAGTGGTCAATATAGAGAGCCCACGAAAACAGTAGTTTTAAAACCATGGCGGAAGGTTCACTTAATAATCTTTACAGTGACAATTATATATAAATATATATATATACTTAACTGGAAGCAATAGTGACTTGTCTCATACATGACGGCTCATCTATACATGTATTATATATACACCACTAACCTACATCTTCTCACTTTTCTACTTTATCTTAGATTAGGTTTTGGATCCGTCAAATAAGACAACACCCATAAAAAAATATTTTCTGCCCTCCTACTTAAACTCTTCAATATAATACCAATCTGATTTCAAAAGTCATTCATTTTCTTCTGAAGTCACTGAATATCGTTTGGAAATTAGAAAAAACATTATCTTCCGAAGCAGAGAAATTTCCGTGACGGGATGAAAAAACATTTTTAAATAATAATAATTATAATATGCCCAACTATGTATTGAGCACTTTTTACGAAAAATAAATTCTCAAGAACTGTGAATTATTAATCTGTTCTTTTTCTTTATTTGTGTGTGTGAATATATAT